AATAACTAAAGTGACATGACGTAGACATTTCATAACAACAAGTGGTATTCCTTAGGTGGGGTCGTTTAAGAAATAAGAAACATCAAATACGTTATTGAGTCTAATTCAGATCCTCTCTGCTGACCTATTTTAACTGATTGCAAACGATTTGTAGATACCCGAGGTCAGAATTCATGGCTTTTGTGCTTTTGATGAATCGCTTATGACCTATAAATATCATTCATCGGTCTGGTGAGTTGAATCTCAGTTACACGCCCCTAATACCAAAAACATCATATTTTCGCTTTTATTCCCTGCATTATATACAAAATAGCATATCGTTACTAACCATAACACGTGCATGTGATAACGATGAATTTCACTTACCTTAAGGCTATTGATGTAAGTGTGGAAGGATTGGAGCGGGCTCGTCTGGTGTACAATGCCTGCAGGGCGAGAGAGGAGTATCATCTATGGCTCTGTCTGTCTGTCACACCCTGGCCTGTATGGTCGGCAATATGAAATGAACACTGAGTGGTATTAAATCATGAACATCGCCTGTGACAGCTGCCAGTGCGCTTTTGACAATAAGTGACTATTCAACCATCCATCTCTCTCTCTCTCTCTCTCTCTGATGGTTTTTGTATTCTGTCTCTCCCATCTCTTTCTCTCTCTCTCTCTCTCTCTCTGATGGTTTTTTGTATTCTGTCTCTCTCATCTCTTTCTCCCCCCCCCCCCCTCTCTCTCTCTCTCTAATGATGTTTGTATTCTGTCTCTCAATCTTTCTCTCTCTCTCTCTCTATATATATATATCTCTCTCTCTCTTTTTGTCTCTCTCCCTCTCCCTGATGGTTTTTGTATTCTGTCTCTCCCATCTCTTTCTGTCTCTGTCTCTCTCTCTCTCTCCCTCCTTCCATCCCTCTCCCTCTATCTCTCCACTGTGATCCTTTCTCCCCCCCCCCCCTCTCTCTCTCCCCTCCCCCTCTCTCTATCTCTCTCTCTCTCCTCATGATCATTTTCTAATTCACTCTTCTCCCTCTTTCTCTTTCTTTCTATTCCTCTCTTTCCATTCCCTTTTATTCCTCATATCTTTACCTTCTATAGCTCCTTCTTAACTCTCTATCCATTCATCACGTTTATCGGCATGACTTGTATATCACCTGTTCTCTCACTATCACCCCGATCTCTCATATATCTACTCCATACGTTGGTCTGAATGCATTTCCTCACCTTTTCTGTATCATATTTCATATCAGTCCCATAATTCTTTCTCTCTCTCTCCCTCTCTCTCTCCCCCCTCTCTCTCTCTCACTGTCTCTCTTACCTTTCTTGCTTGCTATATATAAACATATACCTCTGTCTCTAACTATCTATACTCCCCCTAACAACAACAACAACAAATATATATATATATATATATATATATATCTATTTGTATACATATTTTCTCTCTCTCTCTCTCTCTCTCTTTCTCTCTCTCTCTCTCTCTTTCTCTATCTTTCCCTCTCTCTCTCTCTCTCTCTGTCTCTATCTCTCTCTCTCTCCCTCTATTCATCTTTTTCTGGAAGTTCAAATTTATATTGCCACCGCACAATAACACATTCAAGGCGTCCTTGGCTTCTGTGTTTGTACCTGTAGCGTTGGAGAATCGGACAATAGAAACGAGTGAATTATATTTCAATTTTGTTCACTTCGTTGCAGTTCTATAGATCGCAATGTGTGACGTCTATGCATTGCAGGCAGACCGAACAACCCCGTTCACATTCATAATCTAATCGCACTACGAACTCTCACGATGTGTGCAGTGTCCACACGCCCCTAACTATATTAATTGTCGTTCAGTTTATAGTCATGCATATAAAATACAAATATATTAAGCAAATATTAATCGACTACGAGGGTAATGGTAGCCCCAAGATCACCGAGGCGATGATAGTTTGTATCCATTGCCCGAGTAAAGGAGGTTAATATTTGTTTTATATCCCACATCGGCAATAGGTCTATTTACAGTGAATTTTACATAATTAAAATAACTGATTCTGCAGACAGTTTAGCTTCAGTTAGATTTTACAAAGCACAACATGCATACATGTAATAACGTAGATGCGCTCTCATTTGACATTGACATTTCGCGTAACCTACTTTGCTACACTTATTCAGTGGGCAAGTAGGGCAGCAGCAAAAAATTACTGTACAAAAGTCCTATCGCAGGGAGATAGTACTTATCTATCATTGATGATGTGACCTCGTTTAGACCAATCAGATTGCTAGATTCTTAGTATGCGGGATATAATATTAAATATATATATTAAATGCATATATATATATATATACTAGTACATATATGTGTTTGTGTGTGCGCGCGCGTGTGTGTGTGTATGTAAGAGAGAGAGAGAGAGAGAGAGAGAGAGAGAGAGAGCGTGTATGTGTGTGAATATAAGATACTGTATAACTTTAAAGGAATGGGGTTACAATAACCTGGGCGTTAATAAACGATTATGCCCCTCCTGCCAATTAGATATAGAAGATAAATTTCACTTTATTGTGCGGTGTTCCTTTATAGAGAATAAAGAGAAAAACTGTGCCCCCACCGCCCCCCCCATCCCCTCCCACACACACATACAAACACACACACGCACACACACACGCACGCACACGTACATCTACATTTAGGTTTAATGAGTCATCGGTCTACTGAACCCTAAAAGGATTTGTCAGAATGCCCCACCCCCAAGAACGGTATTGTTGGTCTAGATCGAGAGCTGTCAGTCTCGTGGGCTGCATAGTCAAGATATCAGTTAATAAAGGTTGTAAGCTACCTAGTAGAAGTGTCGTAGTCGAGTGGTTTAAGCACTTGACTTGAAATTCGAAGGCCGTGGTTCGATCCCCGACACGGCACCAATGTCCTTTGGCAAGGCATTAGTCTTCATTTGCCACCCTCTTCCCAGGTGATGTAAATGGGTACCTGGCAGGAATTAATTCCTTGAAATGCTGGAGCGCTGTAATGGCAGCTAGGCTAAAGCCGGAGTAATAATAAATGCGCCCCGGAATAGAATTTCTAGATGGACGGGGCTATAGAAATGCCTAATATTATTATTATTATTATTATTATTATGACTATAAACTCATACAATAACAATGCATCACATTTACTAGTAAATCTCGATCCCATCTTCACAGTTGCACATTAATCCGAAGTGCTATATCTTACAAATCTCTGGTGTGTTCAAAATTTCCATAGGACACTTCCAAAGTCCATAAGTTGTTTTGGAGAATACCGTTGATGTTTTTCAAAATATACCTGATGTTTGTATTCTTATTACACAACTGATAATGATAAGTAAAGCTGGCCGGATTATAAAATCCCCATGCCCACTTCAATTTTAACCGATTTTATTGAGATATTTTTTCTCTCTATATATCCTTCTCCTTCTCTGACTCACTCCCTTTTCTACTCACCTCGATCTGGGGGGGGGGGCGTTTAAAAGAACTTGTCATCAGTAACAAACGACAGTTTTTGTTATAAGCTACTGAATATTTGTTTCTGATTGGCTATCAGCAGATTTGTCACTGATTTTAGTCATTTGTCATTGAAAAAAAATGCTTTGTGAAACGAGCCCTTGATGTCCTTCTACCTCTGTCACCTTCTTTCTTTGTGCTCATGCTATGTGTAATTTTACTTCAATGTTTTAGATGTCAACGAATATTTGTATTTATCACCTATGTATTTCGAGTTTTACTGTTTCTGATGTTCATATGTGTATTTTTATTGCGTGTAAAAATCCCATGTTACGTTACTTTTCAATTTATTTGACCTGGACGAATGAATTGAAAACTGGCCTACTGGGGGCGCCCGACGGATTGAGCCGTAGCGTACTCATTGTAGTGAGAGATATCTTTATGTAGAGAGAGAGAGAGAGAGAGATCTGTTACACACGCATATGCCCTACTTACGTGATCAAAGGTCAATTCACGAAGCTCCAATCTCAATCCATAGTCTATGGGAGTGAACTGTGTTGTACATGGAGCTCCATGATAATAACGACTGACAAATCAGTAAAGACTTCCGGTGACGTAACTATCTCTTCCAACAAAGTAAGCTATGTTTTGAGCCATAGCATCTTAATGAGAGACATAGTTGTGATGACACGTGAAGCAGGGATGTGTGAAGCCCTGCGTGAAGCTTCAATACAGGTTCCCACATAGGGTAGGCCTACATGGGAAGAACTTTAGAGCTTCATGACTTTTACATTTGGACTAGCACGACTTTCTGGAGTAATTGTCTATAATATACTAGCTATGGCTTAAGTAAACCCCTCACACACAAACATCTCTGATTCAAGATTGAGCGTTTAATAATAACTCTCTTGTTACCTCATTATCTCAGCTGCCATTGGTATCATTGAAAAGCATGTTAATTCATCTTTGCAATAGTGCCCCATTTGTAATAATTATGTAATCATGGAATGTGCAGTACACATATATATCGGGCCAAGTCAAAAGTGAAATGCTGCCAAATGCTTTTTTTTCCACCATTGAAAACCTCAAATTCTTTCAGAACACAATCCACCCTCCAGACAATAACAAAATTACAGTTTGCAATAACTGCATTTTGCAGCATTTCTCTTTTGACTTGGCTACATATCCAGGTTTTGGGGGGCTAAGACTTGAATTGCAGAACTTTTTCTTGAAGGAGTTTATTATACATTGAGAGTATTTTAAGACCATTGCAAATAAAAATCAGACAAAGGGCAATGAGTATAGCAAAGATATATTACATGTAGTATTCCATATATACGATCAAAACGAGTTTATCTCTAATAACTTGGCCTTTACATTTTCATAAACGACAAACGTTTCATTATTATTTACGATCACACAATAAACAAACAAACAAAAAATTCACAACCTTTGTAGATCATTAATACAATATTCAAACTGTCTGTCTAAACCAAGGGTAATTCCTTGATTAAACCAAGGATTTGTGATTAAAATCACAAATTCCTGATGAAACAGCGAGTTAAACGCGTTAACTTGTGTCAATATGACAGTATCAGAATCGCACTGTCTGATACGGTAGCCTAGCAGTACTCAAACTGTTGGTCCGTGGTTCCATAGATCTCCCTGTATTATGTTGACACAAGTTTTCCGATGCATACATCTAGATCTGCAAAATCATCGTTATTACGAACGCAGACGGACAATGAACTAGGATGACATTTGCAGGGAGCTAGAGCCCTTTGAATACCTACACTAAATTGTGAGTATATATATATATATATATTATGAGAAAGCGCTAACGGGACGTATATCACTACTCTAAAAAAATACTTGAAGCGACCTCAATGACAATGTTATTCCCATTGGACCACTGCATGTCTAGAAATACGGTGCGGGTGTGAATCCTTCATTAAATCTGTATGGAAATGATACCTCCAATTATTATTCATTTTAATATAGTAACTTTTCGTATCATTATAGTGATACCGGGGGCGGGGAGTTCCATTCCATGTACCAATATATATATACATATATAACAAGCCTCAAGAAACAAATATAAGTGTTCGATCTCGAGATGTAACTGTTCTTGCATGTGTTTGCTTCTCCATGTTATCGTTCAGTGAATATGCACCTTGATGCGCCTTGATGTGCTTTATTGTTTGCTACTTTAATCAATGACATGACAAATAGGGTTAACGATTTAGTGAATGTCAACGCGCCTGTTATACTATGTTTCTATATAGGCGCTACTGTGCTGTTGTCATATAGCAGCCAATTAAGCCAGCCATTAATCAGATCTACACAATAGAAAGCTAGATATAATAGCACCGAAATTACACGTAGCTGCCCGTCATTATGCTTTGTCATGAGTGAAATTTCCAAGACTTTCGATCTGCCTGCTAGGATATTTAAGCCGCATATTTATAGCTACTTGCGCCCTCTATATAGCAAACAATGCCCAATCGGTGACCGTCGGTCCCCGTGATCCTCTTTTTCTTATGTTAAGTGAGAGCTAATTTGATGAGATAACCACCTGTCAGTGACATAGCAGGGTGGTCTAATCCCTCCTGTAAACTAGTACAGATGGGCTTTAAAAGCAAAACTGTATGTGTGATTTAAGCCTATCTGCGCTAGCTTGTTGATATTAGGCCAGGAGGGATAGGACCTCCCTGCATGGTCACTGGCAGGTGGTTATCTCATTAAATCAGCTCTCCATTGGCATAAGAATCATTGGTTTATGGGAAACTTTATTGTACAAGCATTGCTTTTTAATAGGTTCCTCATATTTCACGTTAATGATTATTTACTGCCATCATTGTTTTTTGGTCATTATGCTTTATCTTGCTGACCTTTATAATAGGTAAACTGTTATTTTGAGGAATGTGAAACAATAAAACTAAAGAAACAAAACAAAGAAAAAAGGGTACCATGGGGACCAACGGAACCGCTTAGGCATTGTTGGCTATATAGGGGGCGCAAGTAGCTACAAGAAGTGCATTTCCACTTTAGATCCTATAGTGAGTTGTTCATATTCACGTTCTGTGGACAGTGTGTTCTGGGCGATAGAACTGAAGCATTTTATTGTATCCTATACATGATGAAGATTGTTAGGGAATAGGAATGTATTTTTAGACCATTGTAAGTGCACAACCGACTGCATGAGATTAACCTTGGCTAACATGGTATAGCTAAAGGCTAGGATTAGGGACTTTAGATTTGCACGTCGACATAGTCGACTGCTACGTGTGACGTCCTTTTAAGCATTTAAAAGGATGTCACACGTAGCAGTCCACTATATGTGTCGACGTACAAATCTAAAAGTCCCTAATGAAACACAGTTCAGGGTGCAGCGAGCCGCAGCGAGCATGCAGAGTACAAACGCGTGACGTCATATACTGGCCAAGCTGACAATTGCATGGTTCCAACTTCCAAACAATAGACTGTTTACTAACATATTCAAATGTGTGGATGTTTCTCTCCTGGGAACCATAATTATAGTGATGAGGTATTCCATTAACCTGTTTTTAATGAATAAACTATTATAATACTTGGAATCCATAATGCACTACTTGTTGATATGTCGGACAAGCTTTAGGCAAGCTTTCAGGTTGTCATCAAGAACAACCTGTGTTTAAAAAGTGTGCATACAATTTGAACATAATATCCGTAAACTGGTTTAATCTATAAATATATACAGTTAACAACTAAATTATTCATATCCTTACCAATTTTTGCAATTTTTTAGGTATACGAAAAATTAAGTTGTTCAGATTTATTTTTCTTGATTGAGAATATGATATACTAAATCTTACATCTAAAGGTATCACAAAAGGCCCTTATTCAACCATTCCACATTTCATTCATGAGTTACGGAGATGACAAAAACAGGTTTTTATCTCCGCCCCCAATATGCCCCTCAAGATCAAACACTGGCATGTTTGCTTCGTCAATACTGCGCCTTGGTATTTATATTTTCTAAAAACTATGTACGTTCACATGTTGTTTGCACCCTTGAACCTTTATATATTTGCGTGACACAAAATTATGATTAATGATTTGAAACCCCACTCTTCAGTTAATTTCTGAGCCCATAACAGCTGATCAAAGTCCGTCTACGGGGTCACAATAACAATTGGTATATGACCGAAGCGTATTTGTTAACTAGGTACTAATCATATTGATGAAAAAAGGCTTTAACGTTTTGTTATGCTAGTCGACTTTAAAGGTAAAGACCGGTAGTGGTAAACATGCGGTTCAAGGGTTTGGGGTGCAAAATATCCATTCAATATTGTTTAAATATTGCCTTCAGAGGTTTAGATGGCAATCCTTAAACCTAAATTCGAAAAAAAAGCAGAAATAAGAGGTATTTTCAGGTACCCATTTACACCTGGGTAGAGAGGGTTAAATATGGGCAAAATATCTTGCCCAAGGATGTAAGCACCAAGCGAGCATTGAACCCAGAACCTCTCGTACTAGAGTCAAAAGCCTTGGCGAAAAACAGTGCTCCCGTACCGACTGGAAATCCAAGTACAGACTGACCGCTTTTGAGAATAACATCGAGGCCGCTATTTTTGTTTAACCAAGGTCTGTCAGTCTAGTAATCTGTCAGTCAAAACGTAGGCCGTCTTTCTCGTGGGCTGTTGGTCTAGTGGGATGTCGGTCTCGTGGGCTATTGCATCGTAGCGAAATATTAAAGTTAAAGGGGTAACTGAAGATTGTTTTACCTGACTGCTAACTAGAAAGTATATGTCTGATTGTAAGTATACAACCAGGGGTCGACGGCTTTGAGTCCTCTCTGAGGAACTTGGTAATGAGGATTAATGCCTTACCAAAGGGCGTTAGCGCATCGAATTGGCTTCTAACCCGGGACCTCCCGGTTTCTAGACCATTGCACTTCAATTGCAATTCTATCCTTGAATATTTAAGAAATATCTCCAAAACGTTCAGATTTGTCTCATTTAGATATGCTGATCAAATATCATTTATTATTCTGCGGGGTCACATTGACAATTACTGAATGACCTTTAATAGCGTGCTTACACAATATAATATCCTTTGTTAGTTTAGGTAAACAATATGACTTGATACAGAGGTAGCTAGCTAGACTATCACGAATCTGCCGGTTAGCCTGATATGATGGGAGATCATTGTGTCCGGACTCTTAGGAAATATTGAAGCTGTCTTTTTTCCTTTGGAAAAATGAGCATGGAATAATACTAATCGTTATGAATATTAGAGATTTACGACACATACAAAATCAAATCTTTACAGATTTAGGAAACATTTCATGCAAACGTCATCAAATTACACTTTGAAACAGCTGCCCGAATAAGAAACGAACCTGTCTGAACACACGATGTTTGGTATGCCGTATACGGAAACATGTATCAAAAGGTGTTCAATTACAAATGGCAAGAAAGGTCTCCACTTATATAGTAACAGATTATTAATGAGGACCAATATAGTGGGAATGTGTGGGACTAATGGTATTGATTGAAGGGGACTTATTACGCCAAAGTACAATTGCATATCTACTGTACGAAGGTTTAATATAAGGAAAGTACCAAAGAGCAAATTCACACTTAACGGGATGAATAAAAGCAAGAACTATAATAGTGACTCAGCTCTAAATTGTAATCTCCATCTTCATTTCAATTTTGTTTGTAGTATAATCCACCACGATGGAAGAAGGTGCATATGAACAGCTGGTCGTCAACCCCGATATAAATGACGACTTAAACAACGATAGTGATAACCCGAGCAAAACATCAAGCATCAACGGCAACTACATCACACTACCCGACTCGTCATCGCGTGCGGGGAACGACTTCCAGGTCAGCCTGCAGAGGGCGCGCTCGCGGCACCTAACGGTCGAAGTGCCACTTCTTCTGGTGGCTTTGAGCCTCAGTATCCTCGGCACATTGCGATCGGAGTACTTGCGGGAGCGCGTCGCCACCGATGTCTATCATGTTAACGTGTCGATGAACGACTCTAACTCGTGTGGTGGGAATACTTCGAGTGTAGAGGATGATATCCAGGCGACGACATCCACATGGCTACTTTATCTTGGCGCCATTCAAGCCATTCCAGGTAAGGTTGTGTTTTCGGGGCAATTTTGTCCAATGTTAAGTTTCAAGATCATTTAATTCCATCTCTTTTGATCCCGGCTGATCCTTGTTTTGGGCCCCGTAACACCAAGCCAAGTTAGCAGCAGTTGAAATTTATTTTGCAATTGACCATGCATGGCCAGAGTATAGTCAACAATTGTACCATCGATCAATAGGCCATTTTCGTATGCGATTGGCATTCTGACTATTGAGAAACAATTATTCGTAACAGGTAATTGGAATAATCCGTATCAAGGCATTTCACAAAAACGTATGTAATTTTGCTCAATGAATAGGGTAAGAGCTTATTGTCAATTTAAAGGGTTGCGTTACATACAGAGCTATATAGAGTGCGACTATGTATATCAACTGGTAAACTAATAAGAGGAAGGAAGAGAAAGAAGGGGCGACCATCTCTTTGTAGACTATAGAATGCAGACGTGAGAGCAGTTAGTAAATGGAAGTAGAATGCTGATGTTTGAGGAATAAATATTTGATAACAACAGTCGCAAGAGAGATGATCGTTTTTCATGTAACTATCTTTACGAATTTACCTTGCAGGCCCATGATTTGAGAATGTCTCACCGATAACAACCAAAGCAAGATAGATGATTCACTTTAATCTTTATACTAATTTGTGCCTTGCAGGTCTGTTCATGGCCATAATACTCGGTTCCGTAAGCGATCGGCTCGGTCGCAAGCCCGCCCTCGCTTTGTGCGTGACTGGTCTCCTCATCAATACAGTCTTCAACATCGTGGTGATCTACTTCCATTTCCCAATACCGGCCTTCATCCCTGGAGACCTTATCGGGGGGCTCTGCGGGGGGCTTGCACTGCTCCTCTCGACCAGTGCTGCCTACGTGTGCGACGTGACCTCAGCGAAAATGCGAACTTTTCGGATCGTCGTCGTAGAGACGGTTTTGTTTGTAGGATACGGGATTGGACAGATAGCACTAGGATTCACCCTGCAGTACAGTGCGGATCCGACGTTAAACAAATACCTTCTTCCTCTATGGATCTCCCTTGGGTGTGCGGTGGCATCCCTTGTTTATATTTTGTTACCATGGTTACTGATCGAGACCGTGGATAGGAGACAAGTTGTTGGGAAAGGATCGCAGATATCCAAGGTCCTGGTTGGAATCTATCAGTTGATAAAGGTAAGTTGACATACACACATGATGTAGTTTAAGAATTGACTCATAGTAATTTACAGGTTCTGTCTGATGACTATCTCATATCTTTCTTCCAACGGAGTGCTAAATCAGACGAATTTTGCTTAATTGTTTAGCAGGCCTCCTAATCAATATACTGCTCACAAGGCGCAGAAATGTGCCACATCCAATACATACATTGGTGGAGAAAGTAAAGTATTCTGAAGATATTTCCGATGTCCATATTCAAAGATGACTATTTTCAAGGGTACATTCTATCAAGTTGTATTCAAGGTCGACTCTCATTGTTGCATGCGCGAAAAGAAGAATTCCTAGAAATGATAGTAAGTGGTTATGACCCGGTCATACCGACTCAGAATGGGCCTTTCATGTCCGTTCGAGGAAATGTAAACTTGTTATTCAATCTTTTGTTCTGGACCCTGTTTCATCAAACTTGCTATCAATAACAAGTTACAAGCTACTGTTATAAGCTACTGAAATCATTGCATCTGATTGGCTGAGAGCAAATTTGTCATAGAAATTCATCATCAACTACTGGCAGTCAGGCAAATCAGGTCATTCCTAAAGACCTCCTTAGTGATTTATCCTTATCTTTATTATACAGGAAACATCAAAGACTATAAAGCCACTGGTGCAGTCAGGAAAATCTGTTCATTCCTATGACCCCCTCAGTGATTTAGCCTCATCACTTTTACTATAGACTTTTGGTGATTTTCTTTTGTTCTTTCATGCAGGAAAACACGAATCAAAGAAGAAGGAAAGTGTTGGGCTATGCTGTCATCATGATGTTTGGTGTATTTGTAGTCCAATCCTCTGCTCAAGTGTTCGTAGTTTACAGTTTGGGGGAGCCCTTCTGTCTGGGACCGCTGGATGTGTCCTTCGTCAGTGTTACCTCGGTGATATCCGGGTCCATAGGTAAGTCGATCAAGAACTATTCCCTAGACCTAGCTGCCAGCTAAGGCTTAACTCTATCTTTATAGTGTGACTGCCTCATGTGCGTCGCAATTGCACCACCGAGAGCTAGTGAGCGAACTCACTGGGCGAAGTCACTGGGCGAAGTCACATGGTGCCACCGGACAAACGATAGGCATACGACACACAAATCGCTCGCGAAGGGCGGGGCCTAAACCCATTTGGCTGAATATCAGCTTCTTTTTATTAATCAATCATGCGCTAACTTGGCTGGCGGGCACAAAAAAAAACTCTCTTTGTAGTAAAAATGTTAAGACATTCTCCAAAAAATGGGCAGCATTCGGCGCGTTTAAGGTGACATTCGGGCACCTTGCTTGGTGAGGTGTTGTTGCCCCGAATATCGGAACTGCTAATACATAAATATCCAGCCCCGTACACCTTTGGGACCAACTGGTATGTTAGTTTCATCTGTCTCTATGAACAAAGGACCAGTTGACTGCATGGCGAGGGCTGTAGGCTGTAGGCCCAAAGTGCTGAACACGCTCTGGGACCAGAGAGATCGAGTCCAAGGACCGGTACGTAGGCCTGAATGAATTAAAATGTTATTTACCGAAATGCGTCAACATTGCGGTCTCTTTTTGTTTCCTTTCAGGAATGATCGTTGGCGGCGCTGTTTTACCACGGCTCTTTTCAGACAACTGGATACTTCAGTTTAGTTTGTTGAACTCCATGTTGACGTGTCTGATTACCGGCTTTGCTACCACAAAAACGGTGCTCTATATTAGTAAGCATTCTATTTTTGGACTATTTTAGCAATTTTAACCCTTTCAGCACAGGAATCATTAAAGGGCTAAATTGGTGACCTTTCCTTCTTCAAATTTGCAACATTTAGATTTTTCTTTCTAGTCAACTCCATGTTGACGTCTATAATTACTGACTTGGCAACCACAAAACTGGTCCTCTATCTAAGTAAGCATTTTTAGTCCTGTGGGCACTTTAAAACTTTCACGACAGGAATTGTTTAAAGGGCTAAATTTATCACCTTTTTGTCTTCGAATTGGCAACATTTTGATTTCCTTTTCTTGCTACATTAATCCAATAATGAAATACTATTCTTGACAGAATTCTGCTGCCACATGTCATAGTTGTCAATTACGAAAATCCTTCAAACTTTCTGAATTTGTTGAGTTTGAAAAATATTTAAAGTTTATATAAAGGTATTGTCAATTCGTACGAGCTTCTGTCAGCTCGAATATTAACCCTTGGCCTACTAGAACCGAGTGGTCCCTGTATTATACCTATGGGAAGGAGAGAATTCAGTAGTTAATAGGTTAGGTGAAAAGACACATTAATGTCGGCTTATGTTCAGGGCCCTCTTTCATAAAACTTATGATCAATAACAAATGGTAAATTTCTATGACAAATTTGCTCTCAGCCAATCAGATGCCATGATTTCAGTAGCTTATAACAGTAGCTTGTAACATTTTATTGATATCAAGTTTTATGAAACAGGGCCCTTATTGGGACGTACGGGAATTGTTTCTGGAAACCGTCAAAAGTCTAACTTCTCGGACATCCCATTGAAACGAGACATTGCTTGTGCTATAGAATTATCACGCGTTTTCCCCAAACTTACACTAGTTTAATGACGGGCTCTATAAACGACTCCCGTACTATAATTCGTCCTTGTTTTCACGAAGTGACGGTAGTGAGGAAAATCGTAACGCAAAGTGAATGCAATTTTTTTTCACTACCGTCACTTCGTGAAAACAGCGACGAATTATGTACGTCCCAAGCATTGAATCCATTTTTGCCTCTCTTCACCCAGGTGTAGATGGGAACCGATATGCCAGAGCGGTACATTTTTGACCGCCAGGTATGACAGGGGTTATAATATTAACGCGCCAATGAACCGTTTCATAAAACTTGATATCTATAACAAGTTACAAGCTACTGCTATAAGCTACTGAAATCATGGCACCTGATTGGCTGAGAACAATTTGTTATAGAACTTTAATCAGTTGTTATAGATAACAAGTTATATGAAACGGGCCCAGGAGCGACACGACGTAACAAACATGTGCTAGATAAGATAAGAACTAGATAAGAAGCCACCATTATTATTCATAACTTTTACGTCATTTTCTTTGTAGGTTCTGCACTGAGCCTCATAAAAAACCTTTCGTTCCCTATGATACGATCACAACTCTCCAAGGTGTCTGCACAACACGAGAAAGGTAGGGTTGCTGTGTTGTTGCCGTTTCTGATGTTGTTGCTTTTGTTGTTGTATCGTTGTTGCTGCGGCTGTATTTCTGTTGTTACTTTTGCTGTGTTGTTGTTAATATTGTTGACGCTGCGTTGTAATATTTTTGTTGCTGTCTTGTTGCTGTGTTGTTGCAGGTGCTGCTGCGTTATTATTGTCGTGTTGAAGTTGTCTTTGTGTTTTTGTTGTTGCTGTTCTTGTTCTTCTTTATAATGATCTTCTCTGGTTGTGCTGGGGATTGTTCTAAAAATCAGTGTTGGATGAAACTTTTCATTGAGAATTACGTTCGTACCGCTGTAGGTCTACAAATCTAAAATCGTGGGCACGCCAAAAACATTGAAGGGATTATTTTTAAAGACATTTAATCAACATTGCCCAGTTCGCTTTAGACTAGGTTTGTTACATACATTTTGAAACTCAGACTATGTTTTTCATTTTCGTCAAAATATAAATGACTATACACGTTATAGGAAGCCAGGTTCGATCTCCTTGGAATGATTGTTGAGTACCGTGTATAATACCTTTATGAACTAAGATTCTCCCAAGACAATCTGAAAATGATTTTCGTTTCTGTTGGTGCTTTGTTTCTATTCTGTATGTACTGTTTCATTTCTATGATTGTAAGGGCAATTGCTGTGTGTGATTTGTGCAAGCCTTTAGCTTTTTAATGCGATTTCCAGGCTCAATTTTACTATATATTAAATCTTTGTATTTCATGAAATAAATTAAATCAATTGAATTGTTTATTGTTTTCCTTTCATATACAGGCTTGATGCTGGCTTTCATTGGCTGCATGGATGGACTGTCTGCTTTCTTATCACCGCTCATCTCCAATTCCATCTACTCCAAGACACTTTATTTCTATCCCCCTTTCGTATTTTTCTTTCTGGCTGTTCTCCAAATCATCCCTTGCATCATTACTGCGTAAGTATAAGATCTACACTGTGGGCATTACAGTTATATAGGATAATTACCTCCTGGACAACCACCCCCGGAAAATCCCCCCCCCCCGAGCTTAAATACCCCTGGATAATTACCCCCTAGGACATCTAACCCCGTGGACAATTCAAACCCAAGGACAATTACCCACGAAAAAATTCTGCTTTCATCATTCATCATTTCGGGGGGGGGGGGGTGTCCTCTGGGTGGTTGTCCTTGGTTGTTCCTCGAGGGAGGGGTGTTTATCGTCCTAGGGGGTTATTGTCCTAGGTTGTAGTTTTCTGGGGGGGGGGGTTGTCCTGAGGGTAGTTTCCGGGGGTAATTTTTATGGGGATGATTGTACAGGGGGTTATTGTCCCTTACGCGCCCATGAAGTTGCAGTAAACTTTCCTCTACTCCTTTTCATGAGATTATTATGACAATATAGATTATCCTTGATAGAGAAAGTTTATTCCTTCTCAGAACTTAATCCATCAATCTTAACATGAAAACATCCATGAACGGGTGTTGTTTCATGTAACAGTGGGCATTGTTTTTAGATCGCAATTCTGCGAACCTTTTAAAACGGCATTGAAACCGAATGTTACCATTCTCAAATTGAGATTCCTTAAGCATTTCATTTGAATTTCATCGCTTTTCTTGTCTCTCTTTCATCCATTGTGTTCACAGATTCTTGCAATACAGCCAAAGGAACACATACACTCAACTTGTAAACGAAAGCAGCGAGAAGGAGAACTGAATGAGAAGAAATCTATTTATTCAAATGCTCGTTCACGTATGACGTGGTAAACCGTCGCATTTTATCATCCTTATCTTCTTTGATCGTAAATGCATGACAACTGCGCGTAAGAAAGGTAATACGCGTATTCACTTAGCTCTGTGTTATAAGAACCAGAAATGTGAAGCGTATCCTATTACACTTTACGTCATTTTTTTTTTCTAAACGCCGCGGTTTATCGCTTTATATCTGAACGAGGCTTAAGTTCACTTCCTAAATATATTCATTGTAGTTTGCTCAGCATTGCGAGGGTCTGTAAAATGGCGCCTGGCTGGGTTGTTCCCCAGGGAGTGGAGGATGTGCGTACATGTTTTTTTACAGGCAAGCCTGGATCCGATGAGCGGGTTAATTATATTTGTGCGAAGTTGAAGCTTGATGACATCATTATCAATATTGTTAATAGCATTCTTTTAATTGTTAATTCTCAGGAATCAGCGCTTTAAATTATACCTCACACACGATATCATAAGTGCACTTATGCACTTTGCATTGTAACCTAACTTGTATAGAAACATGTTTATAGATGGGCAAAGTCTTTTATACAGCTTTAGAAAATATTGTTATATTCAATATTCGCTTTGCCAGAGATAATGGATGCAAATACACGTAGTCATAAAACTATGTATAAACTTCCTTTATCAAAAAGCTATAATTAGCATATATATTTATATTCATGTCTATACAAAAAAGCATGTTAGTGTGGTCATCGGACTATCATATAATGTTATTAATCAGTAAAACAGTTGTCATTCAGATGGCTATAAAATGTGAATGTTATGCCGTTAACGGGTGGAAAGGTGAGGTGAGAGAGAGGGTAGGATTTGAAATTTAACTCAGGAATCCGTTTCACAAAGCCTTTTTTCAATGATAAATTACAAAAGTCAATGACAAGTCTGCTGATAAACAATCAGAAGCAAAACTTTTCAGTAGCTTATAACAAAAAATGCCATTTGTCACTGATGACAAGTTTTGTGAAACACCCCCCTGGTTTTTAATTTAAGAACATGACATCCGGGCCCAGTCTTATAAACAGTTATGATTAATCCCAGCTTATTTTCGATTTATATACATCGCAGCTATGTACATTAGAAACAGAAGACTTCAAACTTGCTCAGGAGGCGCGATAGCTCAGTCGGTAGAACAGTGGTCTCGTAATCCGGTGACCCGGGTTCGATACGGTTCGAAACGCTAACGCTAACGAAACTAACGCAAGTCGATGCGCTAGTGCCCTTTTAAAGGTATTAATCATTATTACCAGGTCCCTCGGAGAGGACCCTTAAGCCGTCGGTCTTTCTGGTTGCTTACTAACAAGCATTTATGCTTTCTTAGTAGTCAGGTAATATAACCACCACCAAAAACTTGCGATTGATTCCGGGCATGGTGGCTCAGTGGTTAGAGCGCCCGCCCCATGAACGGGAGGTCGTGGGTTCGAACCCCGGCCGAGTCATACCAAAGACTTATAACAATGGGACCTTCTGCCTTCTAGCTAGGCGCTCAGCATATTAGATTGGAGAAGGGTAGTAATAACATATTATGTTATGCAGGGCCCGCTGGAAGAGCAGTTTCATAACTGAAGTGGCTACCCTGGGTAAATAAAACGTTATTATTATTATTATTATTCGGACTAATCGCAACTCTTTTTAAGACAGGGCCCTGAAGTATCCAGTTTTCTACATCTGTAAAAATCTACTTTAAATTTGTTATCAATTTCTCAAATTTTGAGTCATGAAATTCCTGTGGGAAATCCACTACAAAAAAACGAATACACGCATATAATTATACATATGTGTATATAAAAGTTGAAATAGTTTATATACACATAATTATAATATATGTGTATTTATTATATATGTGTAAACATATATCAAATGAAACAATTCGGATAATACTCCGTCACTGTAATATATAAATAATGATTAAAACCATTGTTTATATTTTCATTTATATATATCTATATATATATATATATATATACACATACATGAATAAGAGTCGTGTTTGTGAGCGTCATCATTTTGGGTTTCATCATAATGACTCAAGTTATGAAATAACTAAGTTTGTTCAACCTTAGCCATTGTTAATTTAAGAATTGACTCTGAAATAATCTATTGGTGAATGAAATTTTTCGGTGCAATGCTCATTCATTTTCTAATTACATGTGCAATAAATACAAGGAGTTTGTCAAAGAAATGATATCAAGGTCAGATAAGCCAATCGGTAAAATATTATTCTAATTTTTGTACTACCACTGTATAGAGATGTCGTGGTCTAGTGGTTATCTCACTTGACTCTCAATCCAAGAGTTGAGGGTTCGAATCCCAGCCCAGCACGAACATGTGTTTGCAGTTTTATAATAAAGCATATGCTGAACTATGTTACTGTAAGTGCCGACACCTAAGCAAAATACATGCGTCTTGTATCGATTAATTTGTGTAATGAGACTAATGCTTGTGGTAAAAACTGAATGGTGTATGCCTCTGTTGCACTCTTAACAAAAGGGATGAAAGATTTGACTCGAGGGTAAACATTATACATGTATATATATATATATATATATATATATGTATCAAACCGGGGATTTATTACTTTGGGCATTTCTTTACCCAAGGACACGGGCAATATTTTGTCTGTTTTGAGGAAATGATTCTTTCTTTTGACCCTGACTGGACAAATATAATCTACGTTCGGTTATACGAAAATGTCGAAGGTTTGTCGGACACATAACTATTGTTGTGTTGGACAAATATTTATCCGTTTCTTTAAAGAGTGCAGGTAATTATGAGTGCATGTAATTATGTTAATCGATAGAGAGAGAGAGAATAACGATAGAAGTAGATGCAGTTACAGGTGGGTATACTGAAAGAGAGAGGGAGAGAGAGCCAGATGTTAAAGAAAGGAAAGAGAGAGAGCGAGAGAGAGAGGCAGATAAGACAAGAGCGGAAAAGGAAGGGAATAGACAGCTTTATGGATAACATAACTACGATTTTGCATAAAATAGATAACAAGTATTGTTAGTGTCCCAAAACTCTTCATTAGGGCGCTTTTCGTTAAAATCATCCTTTTGCGAACTTCAAACTAAATACCTCAAAATATTCTGCGAATGTCGGTGATTCATTCGTTCCTGGGCTTTATGGGCAGGTAATGGAACCTAGGATACGGGAATTGCGGTATAATGATAGACAACTTGAGAGAATAGAGGGTGTTTTAAAAGGGGTTCAAGAATGAAACCAATGCGAAGCGTGGGAATGAATCACAGTGTGAGTGCATTAATTTTTACCCTCCATTTAACAACCGTCAATACTCGACTTTAAACTCATATTGTAGATCCATCTTATAAAACAAATAAACCATGTTTTTAGCTCGTGCATAGTAATATGCACTGCAAACACAATGAGACGACCAATGAACTCGACAATTAAGTCTCGTGCCGGGTCTCGTGCAGCGCATATATTCACTGATTCACTCGCAAACATGTTTTATTTGTATATTAGTCATATTAATTCGTTGGGACAATGGTTATTGTTAGGTTCAACCGTGAGATTCGCAATCACATGATAGTCCATGCAACGGAAACGGGAAGGTTGTGGATGTGTATTTTTAACCCCAGTTTCATTGGAAGAACTATTCAAAATAACCATTAACTTGCATAATGTTAGCTCAATCCTGGATGCATTATAAAGTGCACGTTTCTAGTTGTGATGTGAAAGTTTATACTTTTTCGCTATAAAACAATTTTTAGAATAGTTTAGACTGTTTTTTATATGAATTTCTACTATTTCATTTCTTTCAACTATTACACGTCAGGATTATTGAGCCATAGGATTATTCTACTTTGACGTATTACAATGGACATATCTGAAGTATTGTACTATAGGTTTTTTTTTTTTTTTAATTCTGCTGTATAAATATAATATGAACTGTTATGCTACAAGTCTCCGATAGTTAACTAAAAGTTTAGACTACTGGTAATTCTACTCTGCTATGCGACTAAAAGTTTAGAATAATTTCTACTGTAGATTTTGAACCAACCTATCATGAGTTTCACATTCAGGTTTGGACTAATATATGTCGGAGCAATTGTTAATTGCTCCGACTCCATTCCGTCAAAATCTGTTTGACTATTTCGATTTTCAATTTTCAATATGGGTCTGCGATAAGAGACTAATAATCTTACATCGAGTTCATATGTACAGGATCACTGACTTCCAATATCGTATAGGGACGTTTTTGGTGTATTGAGGTGAGTATATTACGTACATTGTAACTATATAGGCCCAGTATTATCAAAGACTATTTCGATTTTCAGTTTTCAATATGGGTCTGCGGTAAGAGACTAATAATCTTACATCAGGATCACTGACTTCCAATATCGTAGGGACGTTTATAGCATGTCCCTGATTGAGGTGAGTATATTACGTACATTGTGACTATATATAAGCCCAGTATTATCAAAGAGATATCTTTTTGGCATTGGGCATTCGTTGTTTGAATAACATGTATGTATCCATTGATGGTTATGATACTTGCTTGTGTATATAGACATCATGTAATTACGTGACTTGTATACTGTGAATACAGATGTGACGCACATAATTTTGAGGTGAGATAGAATTCAATCAGCCGTATATGCCTATACCTTTTTAGCACGGTAATATATGCCTTCGCGATCGGCAATACTGTATCTATACATTATTTTGTCTCTCTCGTTTTATATCTTTATGTTTGTCTCTCTCTCTCTCTCTCTCTCTCTCTGTTTGTCTCTCTCTCTCTCTCTCTCTTTCTATGTCTTTCGCGCTCTTTCTCTCTCTCTCTCTCTCTCTCTCTCTATTTCTTAGTTCCCCCATCTATTTCTCTTACTCTCTCGCTCCCCCCCCCCCCCACACCCGTATCTAATTCCCTCACTACCCGTTGACCTGTTTACATAAACCTCGGAGACCAGCGCCTGTTTCATAAAAACTTGTTATCAATATCAAATGCTAAATTTCTTTAATAAATTTGCTCTCAGCCAATCAGATGCCAGCATTTCAGTAGCTTATAACATTTATTGCAACTTGTTATTGATATCAAGTTTTATTGAACAGGGCTCTATAGCGTGTAACCTGTGCGTATAATGTACATAACCCGCAGTGTGTTAACGACAGTAAAGCATTTTACAACTATTATGCTTCAATATTCCTGTATAAAAGCAAGGTATCGAGTGTTATTTGACATTTGCATCATTTTGTCTGTATACTATAGTACACATAATAGCTGTTGCCCATAAAGTCGGAATAATATTTCGTACATCTTTCAATGAAAAAGCAAGATTATCGAGTGATATTTAACATTTGCATCATTTTGTCTGTATACTACACATAATAGCCGTTACCCATAAAGTCGGAATAATATTTCGTATGCCTTTCCATGAAAAATCAAGAATATCGAATGGTAGGCTATTTGATATTAAATGTTGCATCACTTTGTCTGTATACTAGTACACATAAAGTTGGGATAATATTTCGTATATCTCTTCATAAAGTAATTGTGACAATATGGTTTATGATATAGATGAAGTTTGATTATAACATCTTCTCAGAACCTTAACCCCTAACTTGACAACTGGATACTCAAATTCCCATAGGCGTAATACAGAGCCTCCTGGTTCCCGTAGGCAATGCCAATGGGGTAATTAAAATGTATATAACTCTTTAGATTAATCAAGGAAGTTATGAGCTAAGACATAAACTCTTCCTCTCAAGAATAAACCATATTCTCACGATCACTTCATGAAAATAGTTGTGTGAGAAAAAAAAGTATTTCAACTTTTCATGCTTCATAATGATGTAGGTAGGATACCAATAACAGGGCAAAGTCTATCACGAGTGGACCCGAGGCCACCGTTGTTGTGACTCACCCAACTGAGAAACACTCCTATTTCACAATAGAGGATTAGAGGGACAATGAACGGTGAGCCTAGCTACCTATATCTGTTTCATCTTCAAGGGCATGCAGCCAGCATAATTGTTTGTGGGGGAGGGGAAGCTATAAGTAGTCTGCAGGCACAGACCCTAATTTGACACTTAATCAAAAAAATCATTGTGCCTTGAGAGAAGTCTAGCCCAGCTACCAACTAGGCGTTGTGGCGTGCGCCTGTAATCCAGCTAACAGTGGAAGTTACAAACTGATTCAGCCGAGGACGCAGGTTCGAAACTGAGTCACGTCTTTCGGATGGTGATGTTAAAGGTCGGTCCCAGACGTAAATAATCATATCTGATTGATACACGTCTGTAAAAACCCAATTACACACACACACACTGGTTGTGTCAATATAGGTCAGGAGCAGCTACAGTACATGGCCTATAGTAGTCTTATAGTGCAGACTCACTTTTACGACTGAGCAGGGTTTGTGCTTGCAGACTAGCTAGTAAGGGTTGTGTGCGGGTGTGTGTGAGGGGATATGTATGGTGGCCCTGAAGGGACATCGCGAATAGACTAAATCGTGAAAAATATGCGATAAAATTCACGATATCGTCAATTTTATCGCATATTTTTCACGAAGAAATTCACGAAATTGACGATATCGTGAACTTTATCGTGAACTTTTCACGATGAAATTGACGATATCGTGAATTTTATCGTGAAAAGTTCACGATATAAAGTTCACGATATCGTCAATTTTATCGTGTACTCTATCGTGTACTCTATCGTGTACTCTCCTGACGGGCGCTTCGTAAACAAAACCAGCCCTAGCTGAGGGAGACAGAGAGAAGGAAAAAAGGGAAAGGGAAAGAGAAGATAAAAGGAAAGAAAGAAGAGGAAGAAGAAGAAAAGAGGAAAACGGGGGAAGGGCGAAGGACTCTTGCCCCCCTCCCCCCCCCCCCCGCCAAAAAATAAATCAGAGAGAGAGAGAGAAGGGAAAGGGAAAGGGAAAGAGAAGATAAAAGGAAAGAAAGAAGAGGAAGAAGAAGAAAAGAGGGAAACGGGGGCAAAGGGCTTTTGCCTCGTCCCCCCGCCCCCCGCCAAAAAATAAATAAGAGAGAGAGAGAGAAGGAAAGGGAAAGAGAAGAAAGAAAGAGAAAAACGAAAAAGAGGGAGAATAGGAAAGAAAGGAAAAGAAAGAAAAGAAAGGAGGCAAGAGCCCTTCGCCCCTGTTTCCCTCTTTTCTTATTCTTTTTCCTCTTCTTTCTTTCCTTTTATATTTTCTTTCCCTCTCCCTTCTCTTTCCCTTTATGGCGGGAGGGGGGAGGGGGAGGTAAGAGCCTTTCGCCCTTCCCCCGTTTCCCTCTTTCCGTCTTCTTCTTCTTTCTTTCCTTTTATATTTTCTTTCCCTTTCCCTTTCCCTTCTCTCTATCTCTCTCTCTCTCTCCTATTTATTTGTTGATGCGGGAGGGGGGAGGAGGCAAGAGCCCCTCTTTTCTTCTTATTCTTCTTCCTTTCCTTTTTTATTCTCTTTCCCTTTCCCTTCTCTCTCTCTCTCTCTCTCTTATTTATTTTTTGGGCGGGGGGATGCAAGAGCCCTTCGCCCCCGTTTCCCTCTTTTCTTCTTCTTCTTCCTCTTCTTTCTTTCCTTTTATCTTCTCTTTCCCTTTCCCTTTCCCTTCTCTCTCTATCTCTTATTTATTTTTTTGGCGGGGGGTGGGGAGGGAGGAGGCAAGAGCCCTTCGCCCTTCCCCCGTTTCCCTCTTTCCTTCTTATTCCCCTTCTTTCTTTCCTTTTATATTTTCTTTCCCTTTCCCTTCTCTCTCTTATTTATTTTTGGCGGGGGGAGAGGAGGCAAGAGCCCTTCGCCCTTTCCCTGTTTCCCTCTTATTCCTCTTCTTTCTTTCCCTTTCCCTTCTCTCTCTCTCTCTCTCTCTTATTTATTTTTTTGGCGGGGGGGGGATGTAAGAGCCTTTCGCCCTTCCCCCGTTTCCCTCTTTCCTTCTTCCTCTTCTTTCTTTCCTTTTATATTTTCTTTCCCTTGCCCTTTCCCTTCTCTCTCTCCTTATTTATTTTTTAGCGGGGGGGGGGGAGTGAGGAGGAGGCAAGAGCCCTTCGCCCCCCCCCCCCCGTTTCCCTCTTTTCTTCTTCTTATTCTTTTTTTCCTTTTATCTTCTCTTTCCCTTTCCCTTTTTTCCTTCTCTCTGTCTCCCCCAGCTAGGGCTGGTTTTGTTTACGAAGCGCCCGTCAGGAGAGTACACGATAGAGTACACGGTAGAGTACACGATAAAATTGACGATATCGTGAACTTTATATCGTGAACTTTTCACGATAAAATTCACGATATCGTCAATTTCATCGTGAAAAGTTCACGATAAAGTTCACGATATCGTCAATTTCGTGAATTTCTTCGTGAAAAATATGCGATAAAATTGACGATATCGTGAATTTTATCGCATATTTTTCACGATTTAGTCTATTCGCGATGTCCCTTCAGGGCCACCATAGATATGTGTGCGTGCTACGTTTGTGCGTATGTATGTGTAGGTACATAAGTTCCTTCGTGTTTGTTGTTATTTTTTTTTCGTAGTTTAAAGGTTTGCTTCATCGGTCACCTTGTCTGCTTTAACTCTGTAAAATGTTGTGATATATTGATTAAAAGTGCAAACATAATATGTATTACAGAGAATGAGTTAAGCGCATTCCAGTTCATTGACATGCGTAATTTAAATGAGAGAGGGTACTCATATATCAACTTGTTGTATTAACATTTAACCCTTCATGGTACATTAACGGGACGCGATCAAATGTCATGCTAATGACCATGTCCAGTGGCGGATCCAGGGGTGGGCCGAAACGGCCGCGGCCCCCCCCCCCCCCCCCCTATTGGCGGCGCAAAAAAATTGAGAAGGAAAAAAGAGGGGGAAAAAAATGGGGGGAAAAAAGAAGAAGATAAAAGAAAAGAGAACAAAAAAGTAAAGAAAAGAGAGAGCGTTCAAAAAAGAGGAATGAAAAAGAAGAGAGGAGCCGGGGAGAAAGAAAGACAACGAAATGGCACTAAAAATTAGTGACAGTAACGACGAATAAGGGAAAGACAAGGGGAAGGGGGGGTGCGTAAAGGCGGATGCATTGAGGGGAGGGGGGAGGGGTGACTGGCCGTATTCTTATTTTTAGGTTATGCGAAACTGAGTCTAAATTATGCTTCTTTTCAAAAAAATCTTAGCATGCTTGTTTATGTTAAGCCGGAGTGCATGAAAAGGTTAGTGTAGAAACACTTCTGAAAAGGCCGCGCCCGGCCCCTCCAAAGAACGGCAGAATGGTAATCCATAAATAATGGATTATTATGGGGTCATTCTTGATGGCTTGGGAGTCGTTAAAAGGAGGGGGCCGGCCCTACTAAAATGGTAGTGACGGTAACGATGGATAAGGGAATAAGGAGGAAGGGATGCACATGCAGGCGCGTACGGGGGGGGGGGGGGGGGGGGGGGGTCGAACCCCCCTCAAATTTTTGTCAAGTTGTCAAGTTGGTCCTGTTGTGTATAATGCGTAGACCAGGGGTTCTCAAACTTTTTCTTTGACGGTCCAGAAGCGATTTCTATGAAAGCTGTAAGGTCCGAAATGACACTTGTATACTGAAGATAATGAGGCTTGTTTTTGGTCTATATCTGATCCAAGGAGAATTGTTACAGTTTTAAAAAAAAACAGAACCGCCAGTGCTTCCACTCGTTTAAATAGAGTTTCCTGAAAAATAACATCCAATATCCTGGAATTTGAAGGAATTTTCTTAAAACTTTCAAAATGCCTCTTACGTGGATTTCTTATTTGGATGAATCGCTATGGCGTTTTAATATATATTAATTATTGAGTGGGCTTATTTTGCTTTCTAATGGATCCATACAACATGGCAGAGCTTGAGGGGCCTGGCAGAGCCTTTTCAAGAGAGAAATTGTCTTTAGGAGAAAAAAGAGGTTATTTCTAAAATGAAATGAAAGGGTTATTGACTTTCAAGAGAGAAAATTGTCTATAAGAGAGGAAGAGAGGTTATTTCTAAAATGAAATGAAAGGGCTCTTGTCAAATAGCCCTTTCATTTCATTTTTTCTCTCGAAATAAACTCTCTTTCTCTCTTATAGACAATTTTATGAGATGGAATCTTCAATCTGAAGCCTTTTTGTGCTCTTTGAAAATGGCACACTGAATGGGGCAGTGCAATTTAAATTCCAAGGGATGGATTAGAGTTTTTATCGCTCTTGAAAGTCAAATAGCCCTTTCATTTCAGAAATAAGGCTCTCTTTCTCTCTTATAGACAATTTTATGAGATGGAATCTTCAATCTGAAGCCTTTTTGTGCTCTTTGAAAATGGCACACTGAATGGGGCAGTGCAATTTAAATTTCAAGGGATGGATTAGAGTTTTTATTGCTCTTGAAAGTCAAATATCCCTTTCATTTCATTTTAGAAATAAATTCTAATACATTCCTTGATATTTAAATTGCGCTGCCCCTATTGTGTCCTCTTTTTAAAGAGCACAACAGAGCCCTCAGATTAGGCAGCAAGTAGCAAAACAAACCCGTAACACTGGACACAACATTCAATGGGATGATGCCCATATCATTGAGTTTGAAACGCACTTTTGGTCAAGAATGGTAGAAGAAGCATCTGCATAAAAAAAGATGAATCCTTCACTGAATAGGGATTCTTGCTATACACTTTTACCTTTGTGTAAATAATAAAAGGTCCACGGGCGTGGTTGTTAGAAGCTTAAACTACATAAAACTCTCTCCAATTTTGCAGGGGGAGAGTCTTTGTCGGGAGTCTTTAATAATAAAAGGGATAAATCCTTCACTGAATAGGGATTCTTGCTATATGTTACCTTTCTTCGCTCCAGTGATCTCGAGGCAGCAGACAGCAAGAAATTGTGTAAATAATTTGCTGTTGCCGGGAGTCTTGCATGGGGCGGAGCCCCAGGAAGTTCTTGAACTTTAAAAAAATTAGGAAATTCCAAATAGTCGTCATGAGCGATAGAAATTGTAATTTCCTCCTTGAGAGTCACATAACCCCTTTCATTTCATTTTAGAATTTAACCTCTCTTTCTCTCTTAAAGACAATTTCATATAACTTCTGTTTTCGTATTGTTGTACTTTTGTCCGCAGACTACTTAAGCACATGTCGATCCAACTCAGTCGGAAATGTAATATGTAGGCCTAAGTGTAAAGTAAAGTTTCATGTTCTTCCTTTTTTCTTTCTTTCTTTCTTTCTCTCCCTCTCTCTGTCTCTCTCCTTTTCCTCTATCTTCTTTTTTAAAAACATTATTCTTTCTTTTCTTCTCATTTTTCTGTGTGTGACATGCGTTACGCGTACGTCTATCAATGTCTTAATATGGTAGATTTACATTTTGATGTTTCCCTTTGTAGGTGCATCTTATTCCAGAAAGTGCCCTATTTTGATGGTGCCCCCCCCCCCTCCCCCCATGTATTGATCTTGATAAAAAAATAAATTTCTCATTAATTCTATTTCCAATATATCTAATACTTGCACTAATCTCCAATATTAAAAAAAATCGTCTACTTTCTCTCAAGACAACATTATATAAAGGATTCATTAATGCAAGGCTATCTCGCGAGTAATCTCTCAATTTCTAACTTCCTGCATTCCTCATCTCCCAGTCTCCCTTGCTTTAATATTCCTCGTTACTTCCTTCCAATTGAACTCCAACTTAATTGATGTTATACACTGTATCTATTCTTCAACTACAGGTAGATGCAAATGTTACTCAAAATCCATTATATAAATCACACTCAGGATACAGCCAACTGACGAGAATTGCTTCAATCTATATTTTACATGTATCATTATGGTTTTGGCTATGGTTATGGCTATGGTGATGAGTTGTCTAGGTAACATGTTGATGTGTTTGTTAAAATGTATTACCATGGTGCACCTTCTTGGTTGGGTATGTATTAACGTAAGTTCGTGCCTTTACATATCACAGTAGAAATAAATGTTTTATATTAATATTTGGAGATTAGAAACACAAACAGTTTCCATAACCGTTCAAGTGTTTCAAGAAAAAGTTAAGCAAACTTTCTCCTGGATGTAAATTCACACTAGCGTATAGCACTAGCGAGCTCTCCGATCTAGGCTAGACTCTTCGCGAGCGGTTTCATTGGAATTTTAAGCGGTTTCATTGGAATTAATCGAGAAATTCCCCTCGCTAGCGTGTAAATAAAAAATACGCCGGCCGGCCATACGTAAATGGCAGTGACGGTAACGACGGATTAAGAGGAAGGGGTGCATACGTGAACTACAAGCGTATTGGGATGATTACTATCATTTTAGAGTGTGCAATCTGGGTCGGAATCCAGCACAATATATATTTATAAAAAAGAAGTTCACATAAAAGCACTCATGATAAAGCCGCGCCCGGCCCCTACAACATCATTTTGGATTTTCAGATGATAGGTCGGGTGGCAGGGGTAGGGGGCAAAGTTCGCCCCACTCTTTAAGTACCCCCCCCCCCCCCAAAGGGCCACTTTTACTTTGTAAAGAAGTGCCCCTTCCCCTTTTTAACTCGGATAAGCGCACATTTCATCAACACATGTGCCCCCTTTCCTATCTGATAAGGGCTATTTAGAAAAATGAGGCCCTTCATAAATAAAAAGTGTCCCTTTTCATCTCTGGTAAATGACCATTTTCATATATGAGAAGTTAATTCTTTTTACTTCAGTGCGCTCTTCACCTCCGATAATTGCCCCTATTCAAATATGAGAGATGCTCGTTTTACTTTGAAAAGTACCCCTTCCCCTCCTGATAAGTACTCTTTTCATCTATGATGGGTGCCCATTTTCACCTTTGCTAACTGCCCTTTTATTTTGAATCATGCCCCTTTTCCTTTCTAATAAGGGACCTATCCCCTTTTCATAAATGCCCCTTTTCACCTCTGATAAATCAATTTCTGATGGATGCCCCTTTTCCGTCAACAAATGCCCATTTCCCATACTCATAAGTGCCCTATCTCATTTCTGGTGAGTGCCTCCTTTCAGGTGTAAGAAGTGCCCCGTTTGAACCTTTGATAATTACTCTTTGTACCTTGACACATGCTCCTTTTCTTTTCTAATAAGTGTCTTTATCCCTTTCGCACGTAGGCACGGGGGGGGGGGGGGCACGTGCCCCTAACCTGCTCATCATTAGTCTTGCACCTAATATAAAGCGACTAAGAGTAATTTCCCCTAAAAAGGTCGCTCGCTCGCTCGCATTTATAGATGATACAATATGTCACTTTAAAAAAAATGTGTTTTCAGTCTTCCGTGATGCTTATAACCCCATCATGATTTGTTTTTTCCTCTTTATAAGATGTAATTTTTCACTCTGCGACCTCACAGATCTTACATTTTTTCTCGCTCGCTTTGCTCGCTCGCAAATGAATATTCAGACAATCACACCCAGCCGAAAGTGTGATGCTTAAGCAATATATCTTGTATGATATATAAAGAAAAACAAATATTGAAATCGTCCCTGATAATGGCATCACAATGAAAGGGTATATACCAATGTCTAAAAAAATGTATATTTTCGCTTTGAGATTTCGCTTTGTAGGTGCCCTTTTTTGTTGGTGCTTTCCACTTTGGAAATAGCTCCGCCGCCCCTGCTTACGCATTAGCGCCAGCGTTAATTTCACGCTTGCGTGCACAGGGGGTGTCTGTGTGTGTGTGTGTGTGGGGGGGGGGGTTCCTCTCTAGCTCTGAAGCTGATTTTTTTTTTTACCTGGATTCGTGCGATTCGGTTAATACTTTTAGAGGGAGTCTGAGGGGTGATGTGCCCCCCTCTGAAGCTGACATTTTTTGGATTTTTGAAACAGGATTCGTGCGTTTTGGTTAATACTTTTTTTGGGGAGTCTGATTTAATTTCAAAACACCTGCAGTTAATGCGGGATTGGGTTGCAGCCTCTCTTTCCCCGAAAATTTAAAAATTACCAATATGCATTTGTTTTATCTTATCTCGTATATTTTGGTGACAATTAACACTTTTCACAACATACATAAGCTCAAATTTCCGCTCACTCGCCAAATTATTAAACCAGGAAATAGATATTGGGGGAAGAGGCTTCAGCCCCCACTGATGGAAATGTCAAAAAAATTGCGCGCGAGCATAACTTGAAAACGGGGAATGTTGATATCGGACAAGAGATGTGACGTGAGCATGTTCCCTTTCCAAAATAATTGTGCCCGCTTGTAGGTACCAGTACACTATTAAAGTACAGTGCTTCTAATATGACCTTGTCAGTATTGGTAAGTTTAAATAACGGTCTGCGCGAATTTCGAATTTCCGGCCCCCCCTATTGGAAAATCCTGGATCCGCGCCTGATGTCTACTTAATGACTGATTTTTTTTCACTACGGTATGTCCGTCTGATGATCGACGCCCTATTAGGTAAATGTACATGGTCATATGATCTGAAACTCTATTCAGAATACTTTTCAAAGGAATTTAAAGGCTATATAGTTTGTAATTGATTTTTTTTTCTCTTTCGTAGAGTCATGGAAGCTGATAATTCTACAATTAATAGCAGTGGGGTCTCAAGCAAGCCCTCTGACGTAGCAGACCACACTGAATATGCTTCTTCTCCAGCTGAGCAAACCACACAGTGCCAGGATGTTAAATTTGAAGGTCAGCACAAGAGGGCGGTATCTCGTTACATTACAGTTGAAGTACCTCTCGCCCTAACAGTTCTCACGTATCAACTGATAGCAACAATGAAGGTATTATACATTTGTCAATTATATTCATTTTAGCCTATTTTGAATGCCAACTTAAATAGACAGGCCATACATTCCAAAATCGAGGGACAATCAATAGAACTGATGTACAAAAACAAATATAGATATATTTAAAGCCCCACTGTACTAGTTTGGCTAGGAGGGATTACCTCCATGCATGATCACTGCATGACGGATGGTTATCTCATTAAATCAGCTCTCAATTAACATAAGAAAAAGGGGATCATGGGGGACCAATGGTTACCGATTAGGAATTGTTTGCTAAATAGAGGGCGCAAGTAGCTATCAGTAGTGCAGTGGGGCTTTAAAAGGTTGTAGTAAGAATCGCATCGTGTAAATGTAGTCAGACAACTCGGCAGAAGCATTGCATTTTACGGCATGCAAGGCATGGCCACACAGAGAAATCTTTCCCGTTGGGGACCGGTGGGAAATGCAATTAATTATTGATAATTTATTGCATTTCTGTTGTTTTTTTGTATTTGTGGGGGGCTGCACCCTACCCTAGCCCCCGCTGCGTACTTTCGTGATTCAGGGGCAATCAAAGGCCTAGTAATTGTGAAGCTCCAGGATCAAACCCGTGTCGAGGTGCTATATTAGTGCCCTTTTGTGAGGCATTAATCCTCATTACCGTCAGTTATGACTTAAGGACGTAGGTCCCCTAGTTGATAAACATAGTAGCATATACACATGCTTTAGCAGTCACGCAAAACGAACACTCGCAAATTGTTATTCAATAAAATATGAGAATGCATACCATTACCTAAATCTATTAGGAATAAATCATTGTCAAAATCATTCCATAAATTAGGGTAAACAAAAATATTCCACCTTCATCACAAACAGTCCACTTGATCGTCTTGGTGTTTTAAACCACCCTCGATTCCATGTATAATGCTTTGAATCTGTACTGTATTTCTGATTTGAATGTGTACATGCTTTTAGTAACTGGAATTAAGTAAAATTGAACTTGAACTTGAACTTGAACTTGAACTTGAATTTCATTATTTCGTTGCTTCCAGGCTGAATATCTCCACGATCGACTCTCAGCGAAATACAATCATTCGCTGATCCACAATAGCTCAGCATCGACGTGTGGGCCAAGCACAAATTTAAACGAAAGCCATATCGGAGATATGATTCAGGCTGAAACCTCCACATGGCTTCTCTACCTGGGTCTAGCGTATTCCATCCCGGGTAATCACTCTTATGTTTATAACGTCTCTTGCGTCACTCCTGTTGCTTGCTATACCTGCGCTATTAAATTGAGCAAGAAGAAAAGTAGTCCAAAGACTAATTTCTCCTAAATCTAGACTCTCATCTTACGAAAATCGTTTTACAGTGGCTGCTTTGAAAACATAAGGCCTTGGAAATTGCCTTAGATTGTTGTTTTTTTAAAGATGAGGAGATATCAAATTCCTTACTGTCATAAACACGATTACAAAGAGTTTTAAAAATCAACTTCAAGCCAATGTCACGGCTTAATAATTGTATTGTATATAGAGATTATGTTCGGATCATGTCAAATGTCAGTGACATATGTTCGCACAATGTGTTGATTTCGGGAAAGTCTTTCAAGTTTCAAGTTTCAAGTTTTATTGTTCCACATTTTACAGAAAATATAGACATACATATAAACTAAAAAATTAAATAATACAATTGTAGTATAAATGAGCACATCTCATTGATTCTCAATTCATAAAATAGATTAAGTAGGATGTGAGGAACCTATTAAAAAGCAGTGCTAGTATAATATAAGGTTCCTGGAAAAAAATAAGTAATTAAGATGACAAACATCTGATCGTGTTCACCATCATTTCATCTCTTTATCTCACAGGTGTCTTCATGGCTATTCTTGTCGGTTCCCTGAGCGATACCTTCGGCCGCAAACCTGCTCTGTGTCTGAACATCATAGGGAGCTGTCTACTATCCACGGTATACCTATTCATCGTCTATTACCAAGCGCCGGTCGAGTACCTGCTGATAGGAGACTTTATCTCCGGCGTGACCGGAGGTCAAGCCTTGCTTCTTTCGACCGGTGCGGCTTATGTTGCGGATGTGACGTCAGAAAAGTCCAGGACGCCACGAATCATCTTTCTCGAGACAATATTCTTCATAGGTTAGCAAAAAAATAGAGGCTAATGTACGCGTAATCTCCATTTGCCACTATCCACCCTGGTTTTAAACGGATGCCGGTAGGTATTCATTGATGTTGTGAGCACTGATATCGGTAGTCCAGATAGAGCTAGCGTAATATTGTGTCACAGAATCCCCTCAAAAGTAATAAGTATAGTAGTCGAGTAGTTTAAACAGATGACTGGAAATGTAAATGCAAAAGTTTCAGGTCGACTCAGGGAAAGGATATTTACCACCTAAGGCCATAATGGCACTATTACCTTGATTATATATATTTTATTTTATTTTGATATATAGATGGAGGTACGTCCAACCTAACTACCAACCTAAATCTAACTACTAGAATCTTGTTTCTTATTTTACCTTTCTTCGTCAAATGTACGTATCAATCATTTTGTACATTTGCTTATTCTGTGTTAGGTTTGAGAACATTTAAATACAGACTGTATTTGTAAGGAAAAATGATTAGAGGGGAAAAAGTTGTTGTTATTTAATTCTCACAAAATGGGCAGTTCCCCCTCCCCCCATTTTAACTTAGATTCCACTGATAATTCTATGTCTTTTTCTTAATCTCGTTTTGTTACTATTTCTTTTTTCCAAAATTGCATCTCTAAGGTATGGGTGCAGGGCAGATCTCCCTTGGAACGGCATTGCAGTACAGTCCGGATCACTCGTTCAGAAAGTACCTAGCACCACTATGGCTGGCTCTTGGTTGCGCCCTAGCGTCACTTGTGTATACCGTTCTTCCTAACGTCCTGATAGAAACGGTGGATAGACGGAATAGAAGAAAAAGTGTAGGAGTAAGGGTGTTGGTATCTGGGATTGTTGATATAATCAGGGTAAATACCTTTTTACTTCCGCACTCTTCTTTATTATTATCATTATTCTTAGGATTTTTACTATTATTATCAGTATAATTATTATCACCATAAATATTATCATTATTACTATTGTTATTAATATTATTATCATCAATATTGTCATTATTATTATTATCATTATTGTTATTATTACTATTAATTATTTCTATAATTATTATCATTATTACTAGTATAATTAGTAAAATTGAAGGTGATGATGTAATGGGTTATAGGGCACCTACACCCCGGACATCCACCCCCCCCCCCCCCTCCCACCCCGGATAACCAACCCCAATCAACTATCCCCTAGGACAAGTACCCCTAGGGCAACCAACCTCTAGGTCGACTACCCCGGGACACCTACCCCCGGACAACTACCCCAAGACAACTAACCCCTAAGACAACTACCCCCGGACAACTACCCCCTACGACAACCATCCTCTAGAACAACTACCCACCTGAAAACTTTCCTAGGGGGTAGTTGTCCGGGGGTAGTTGTCCGGGGGTAGTCGTCCTAGAGAGTGGTTGTCCTAAGGGGTATATGTCTTAGGGGGTAGTTGTCCTAGGGGGTAGTTGACTAGGGGTGGTTATCCGGGGGTGGATGTCCAGGGAGAAGTTGTGTCAAGATATGGATGTAATGTAATGATTTGTGTAATCATTACGGCCAATTGCCAATCATGATTTACAAAAGTCGTCACTCTTTTTTCTTTTTTAAACTTCTCTCTTTTTCTTTTCCATCAACTAGATAAACAACAATGGCAGGCGATTAAAGGTGATAATGTACACGGTTGTCATGGTTTGCATAGTCATTACAGCCAAGTGCCAGTCGCAATTAACTATAGTATACAGTCTCGGGGAACCGTTCTGTTTCAACCCTCTGATGGTTTCTATTCTGACCGTCGTTGGTTTATCAATCCAAGCTCTTGGTATGTATCTTTTCCTCTTTCTTTTTCTTCTTCTTTTTTCTTTTTCCTCTTCCACATCTCTTCGTTTGATTCATCTTTTTCAAATGGTTCGTCTTCTATTTCTTCCTCTTTTTCTTCTTCTTCATTTCCTCTTCTTCTACTTCTCTTTATTCTTTTTTTCTTCTTATTCTATTACCCTTTTTCTTTTTCTATGCTTCGTCCTTTCTTCTCCTTTTCTTCTTCCACCTCTTCTTCTTTCTTCTTCTTCTACTTCCTCTTCTTCTTCTTCTTCTTCTTCTTCTTCTTCTTATTCTTCTTCTTCTTCTTCTTCTTCTTCTTCTTCTTCTTCTTCTTTAACCTGCTCATGGTATCCCTACAAACCATCTTTGGTTTATGAAGAAAAGCTTTGGGTATGTTTTTGTTCGTATCAGACAATTACCCTCTGGGCAGTCACCCCCGGAAAATTACCCCGGAAAACTACCCCCGTAGGACGATTACCCCCCGAAAATTGTTTATGTTGATATTAATAAACCGAAATTGAATTGAATTGAATTGAATTGAAAAATTACCCCCCGAAGAATAACCCCCCGAGGACAATTACCCCCATGAAAATTACCGCCCGGAGAATTACCCCTGACGACAACTACCCCCCGATAACAATTACCCCCCGAGGACAACCACCCCCGAGGACAATTACCCCCCGAGGACAATTACCCCCAAGGACAACTACTCCCCGAGGAACGGCGTTCACCCATATACTTTGACACAGCTTTAACCCCTTTCCGGCTGTGAACACTGAATAGTTTGGCGAAGTTAGATTATAAAAAGTACTGGAACGCCAGAGACAGGAAAAGTTATATTTTCTATCTTCACTGTCAACAGTGAAATGCATTTCTTGTGAAATTTCTACTTCGTATTCAAACTTATTTATTTATTTATCATTTGTTAGTTTATTCTTTTATTTACCCTTTTTCCTCGTCAGGTATGATATTCAGCGGTGCTGTCCTAGGTCGTATTTTGAGTGAGAACTGGATTCTTCAGCTAAGTTTCTGGAATACCGGACTTTTTTTTCTTATCGTTGCTCTAGCACAAAAAGGTTTTCAATTATTTATAGGTAAGTAAAAAGACTGAAGTATAATTCCCCTCTCACTAACAAAGATGATTAAGTGGTGTTTGTGTGTGTGTGTGTGTGTGTGTGTGAATGTGTGTGTGCCTGTAATGTGTGCAGGTGTGGGCGCGCGCGTGCGGGTGTCTCGGTGTAGTAATACTGTGCAAAGACGTTTATGTGTTGTGTGTACGTAGAAAAGGGGCGCGTGCGCGTCCGGTTAAGCGTGTGTGGGTTAGAGTGTGAGTGTTTGCGGGTGTGTGGAAGGAAACATGACTTTACATGTCGTTGTTCATTTTTGAGTGTATTTGTGTGTACTTATAGTTTTTCTTCTCCATGCGCCTCGAACATATTAGTCATGTGGAGTTGGCGCATTACAAATACTCTATTATTATTATTATTACATGAATAGGCCTACATTCTGAACATGAAGTCTTAAAGACCCTATCCTAGGAAATGCAACTTGATATACCCTTTCATTATTGCACAATGGCACATTTTTCCGCACCCCTCCAAATTACGGGTCAACATGGGCCAAATTTGCCGCAGTTACAGTGACGACATAACATTCGCACTCGCGAAGGAAACCAGCGCATGCGCACGTGGAATCCGGTAGGATGGTCAATAGGATAATAGTAATTATACAAATCAATCTTTCATCAACCCATCGTTAGCTCAATCGGTAAGGACAGCGTGTTACTAATAGAACTTTGGAGTTGCCGTGAGGGTTCAAATCTCAGTTTATTTAGTTTTTTTTTACCTTTATAAATAGCGAGGCAAAGCAATAAATAATCAAAGTCTTAAGGCCCGGTTACACAAAGGGGACGCATGGGGGACGCACGGCCAGCGCATTGGAAATTTGCAATTTGAACCAGTGCGTTGTCGTTCGCTAGGCGTGCGTCATCATTCGTTACTCGTTCGTCGAGCGCGCTGGACCCACGCTATGCATTCGTCGTCATTCGCTGTGTGCGTCGGGATTTTTTGAGCATGCTCAAAAGTGTGCGCGGAGCTCGACGCATGAATGTACGCGCCAAAGGCACGCCAGACATGCGTGGAGCGCGCTAGACCAGCGCCAGACATACGCGGAGCACACGCCCTGTATACGCACAGCGCGCTAGCTACACGCCGTGCATTTTGTGTCAGCTCGCTAGCTTTTCCAAAATTATGACAAAAGTTAGGCACACGGCCTTTTCCGATTTCCAATGCGCTGGCCGTGCGTCGTAGAACGCGGTGCATGCGTGGACCATTCGTCCAGCTCGCTAGCAACACGCTGTGCATTCGTGGAAGTTGTTATCATGTGCGCTCTGTGTACGGTCTGTATGCGCACTGTATGCGCCCTTTATGCGCCCTGTATGCGCCCTGTATGCGCTCAGCGCGCTAGCAACACGCTATGCATTTGGTGTCAGCTCGTTGTAGCTTCGACAAAAGTTGGTCGCACGACAACGCACTGGCCAAAATTGCAAATTTCCAATGCGCTGGCCGTGCGTGCCCCATGCGTCCCCTCTGTGTGACCGGGCCTTAAGGCCCGAATTCACAAAGGACGTTTGTCGACAAACCTCCTTTCGTTTCGACAAACCTCCTTTTGTTATTTACAAACCAGGTTTGTAAAAAAACGGGTCAAAACGCGTCATGTGACGTACATAAACCTCGGTTTGTCGACAAACCTCCTTTGTGAATTCGGGCCCAATTGTTTGTGACCTCTTTGCAAGCTTACGTAGCTTGTTATGTATGAAAATGAGTTCATACTGGAATCTGGGCTCACCGTGTCACGAAAAAATATGACGCGACCGGTTCACCTATAATGGCTTAATAGCTGAGGCGATGAGCCATGCTTAATTAATGCAAAGTCATTGTGAATATCATAATGCGTACTAGCTACACACAAGATGATGTCGTCAAGTCGATAGCAAGTTTTTAGGTCGACAACTTCCGATTTCCAAAGCTTTAGATTTTGAGTTTTCAAAGAGCTGATACTCCTTATACAGACACTAAAATGGCATATAATTGATATCATTGTAATGTATGGCTTATCACCTCTCCGTTGATTTATAATTCATCCATTTCATTTTTCAGTTCGGAGAATGGTCTTTGATATAGCTTAAAATTGACAATTCCAAACGAAAACGAAAGGAATACACATTTTCATTCTTTATGGAAATTGACTCAGATTTGTTTTCTTCTTATTATTTTCAATTTTTTATTTTATTTAGATGTTCAACTGAATCCAATATGACTAATTGCCTTTTCTTTTTCTTTCCGTAGCTGCCGGTATCGGGGTGTTTGGCGCCATATGTTTCCCTGTCGTACGATCACAACTCTCCAAGCTAGCTAGTGAACATGAAAGAGGTATGCATAAACAGAGACTCACTTATGAAAAAGTTGTATGCAAGCGTTTCCCAGATAGTACGCAATCTTCCTTTAATTCTGTCATTTTATATGCAAAACACAGTATATATTCTCAGCGAAATACAAAAGGGAACGGCTATCTTTGAATTATTTTAAGAAGATGCTTAAAGGTTGTAATGAAGTTGAGCGGGTTCTTTCTATCAAACGCAATACATTTGTTGCATTACTTGATATTAATAGAAACATGTGCAACTGATGTAACAATCTTTGTTTCACCGGTATGTCATTAACATGTACTTTGTTCAAATCTGTTGTTTTGTTCTTGCTCAAGAATGATTGAATACAAAAAAAATGCTTTGGAAAAACAAAGCGTTTCTGACTTCCTTGTTGTGGCAGAAGGTGGGGGGAGAGAGATGAGCAGTTATTCTGCAAAGATTTCCTTCAGTTTCTGAGCTTTTATTATTATTTTGACCAGCTTTACTTTTCGTAAAAACGACGAATAAGTGGGGGGGGGGGGGGGGGGGGTAAGGAGCGCTAGTTTTTTTCTTCTCAAATTCGTGAGAAAATATTTAGCGACGAATCAACCCCCCCCCCCCTTCCCTTGCGCTAGGGGGAGGGGATCCGTCTTCTTTTTTATTTAAAAAAAAAGGTTTACCTGTTTTGGGGCTACGGGAGGGGGCCCGCCCCCCCCCCCCCTCCCCACCCCCTGGATAAATACGTTGAAGTCACTCCCCAGACTTTTTAGGGATAAAATGATTAGATTTTGGGGGAAAAATTGATGTTTTTGTTATCCTTATTCAAGGTCTGATGTTGGCGTTTGTCGGATGCATGGACAGTATAGGGACCTTATTGACACCCATCATCCTGAATAATATTTACTCAGAGACCGTCTCGTTTTATCCACCTTTGGTCTTCTTCTTCAGTGCAGCGTTTGAGATCATCCCTACCGTCTGCGTCGGGTAATTTGATTTCTTTATACAATCTATCCTTCTTTTCTCTCTCTCTCTCTCTCTCTGATTGTCACTGTATTTCTATGTCTCTCTCTCTCCCTCTCTCTCTCCCTCTCTCTCCCTGTGTTCCTATCTCTCTCTCTCTCTCTCTCTCTCGCACTATGTTTCTATTTCTCTCTCTCTCTCTCTTTCTATCTCTATTACCTCTCTTTATTTCTCTCGCTCTTTCTCTTTCTTTCTCTCTCTCTCCCTTCTATCTGTCTCTTTCTTTCTATCACACTTTATTTGTCTTTGTCTTTGTCTTTTTATTTCTCTCTGCCCCTATCTTTCTCTCTCTCTTTATTTCTCTCTCTCTCTCTCTCTCTCTCTTTCTCTCACTTTCTCTCTCACTTTCTCTCTATCTCTATCTTTCTATCACACTTTAGTTGTATATGTCTTTCTCTTTTTCTTTCTCTTTCTCTGCCTCCTTCTCTCTCTCTCTCTCTAGATCTCTCTCTCTCTCCCTCCCTCTCTCTCGACCTACTGTTTTCTATTTGCTTTGGTTTTTATATTGTTGAATAGCGTTGATATAAGGGAGTTTACAGATAGCACATGGTACAAATGACCCCAAATATCCACAGATCTTTTACACAGGGAGAAGTTCCACTTTGAGCATCTTAGAATAATAACTGCCAAAGTTCTAGATGTGCTTCATGAACACCTTTTGTTTGCCCTCTTGAAAAGAATACTTCCACCTGCGTATCATAGAATGTACCGTTGGTGCATAAATGAATAATGGTACATAACTTTCATGAGCGCATATCCAGTATTCATCTCTGGTGGGTTTTACCTTTTTGGTACAAATGACCTTTATCTGCCCATGCGCAGATTGTATCTGTAAACTCCCTTATTGAGTTGGCACAGTCAAATAACCCATCTTGTGCAGCCGTCATTGAATCATGTGTTTCAAATTGCACATCTTTGCCCTTCATTTTTCTCTGATCAATGCACTAATGATAGCTCATTGTTAGAATAAGACTCTTTTTGCAGTGGTGAGACCAGCCGAGTTTCATTTTAGCCTGTATACATTCATTTTATTATAGTGTCTTATTTTCTTTCTCTCTCTCTCTCTCTCTCTCTATTCTCTCTCACTCCTCTTTTACAGTATCCTACAGTGCAGGCATAGAAGAGAAGTTAAATATCACGTGATCAATAGGGAGAACATTGAAGAACACAGTGAAGCACAATGACGTCACAAAGCAATCAATCGGACATCTGGCAATGTGTCGTGATCGACGTTTACTTTTTTTCGCAATGGAAATCTACAATAACGCCAATTAACTTGTTTTGTTACGCAATGGAAGTGTCACCGAATGAAGTGGACTTTTCGTGTCTAAACTGGACGGGGGTAGGTGGCTCCTAAGGGACACGCAAACGCAAAAATTTGACGTATATCTATGCAACATATTTTTCGTTTTTTACGTTCAAGACGTGAAAATCCACAAAATTGAAGTATACCTTTGCCTGGTAATTGTTTTCGTTTGTCTGTACTCAATGGCCCTGAAGGGACACGCAGACATGAAAATCTGCGTCCGATATTCACGTCTGCGTCTCCCAAAAGGGACGCGCAGACGTGAATATTGGACGCAGATTTTTTCTTCTTCACGTTTTGGACGTAAACAGACAATAAAACCCTTGCATAGGTGTACGTCAATTTTGTGGATTTTCACGTCTTGAACGTGAAAGACAAAAAAATTGTTGCAAAGGTATACGTCAAATTGTTGCGTTTGCGTGTCCCTAAGGAGCCACCATATAGATAGACAATTTATTCTCAAAAGGACAAACAAGTGCCCAATAGGCCCTCTTCATACACCCATGCGCTGTGGTAGGAGGTTGCCATTTTCCCCAGCACCGCACGACCACATGCAGATTAACAGCGGTCATTTACATTGTGATGGGGGTACGCCCCCCCCCCCCCCCCATCAAATGATTACACAGTAAAAAGATCCAAGAGAGAAAGGGAGACAGAGGAAGAAGAAAAAAAGAATACGGATGAAGACAAGTATGATGGGCCCCATCTGATCTACACACCCTTCCCTAAGAGCGCGGATCCAGGATTTTGTAGGGGTGGGGGCCCAAATTTTAAATCAATTTGAAATGTAGTGTGCTGAAATAAGAAAGTCGTGCTGGCCAATATTTCGCTCGGGGGGGGGGGGTAATTAGTGAGCACTCGTTTTTTTTTTGGGGGGGGGCCCTCGAAAATTTGAAAATTTGCATCTCCCAAAAAGGTAACATTAACGTTAAAAAAATGTAAAAATACACATTCTTTGATACCAGTCTCTAGCTGATTGATAGAACCTGACGTAGTTTACTCGTTTTTATAGAATTCTTAACTCACCAAATATTTACTATATTTTTATGAAGCATTATAGTTATATATGTATATTTTGTACGTACTGTACACTGCCAAAATGTTTACGTATATTCTCAATTACATTTGGCAATGTACATAACTCAAATATCGAATGTACGGTGTATACTATTATGTAACAAATAAAGTCAAATCCAAGTCATATTTATTTTTATTCTGATAATTTCATTTTGTTGTCTTGTTGTGATATTCTGGGCCTCATCTTATACAAAAAGTTGCGATTTATCCAAATCAATCACAAGTCATCTCTATCAATCACAGGTTTGCAGTCTCTTACGTACAAAGTTGCTATTGGTATACTAAGTTGCGATTAAGACAGTCACTAGTTCGTTCGTGTCTCCTTAGATCAAGATTAATGTAATCTTGATCTTCGGAGTAGTTGCTACAACCGGCCGTGTCAGACACGTTGCCCCGGGGTGCGAGATAGGACGCTTGTAGCGTGCCCCCATTTAAAACAATTATACAATAACAGTTAACATTACATTTAATTAATAGCATGAAACTATTAAAATTACTCTCATGTTACGGGAAAAAATATTGCATATATATATATATTATAAATCAATTGATTTGGTCGATCCAGTTCGAGTGAAGGAGTAGTTGCTACAATCGGCCGTGTCAGACACGTTGCCCCGGGGTGCGAGATAGGACGCTTGTAGCGTGCCCCCATTTAAAACAATTATACAATAACAGTTAACATTACATTTAATTAATAGTATGAAACTATTAAAATTACTCTCATGTTACGGGAAAAAATATTGCATATATATATATTATAAATCAATTGATTTGGTCGATCCAGTTCGATGGCACAAACACGGCACTACTGGACAGAGATCCTAATAATTAATATTTAGTGTTGTCACTATTCAAAGTGGTAATCAGGTAACATGCTTTTCCGTTAGCGAAGTCAGAAATGGCCCTCTATATATGTTGCTCGTCAGAGAAGGATTCCTCCTCCCCCCCCCCCCCCCCCCCACCCCCTGCTCCCGTCAGAGAATCGTAAATCCGCCACTGATATAAAATTTATATAAATATTATTCTGTTATCAGTTCATAGTTTGGAGTATAAAATGCCACTTTTCTTCCTCAACATAAAAAACAGATTATTATGTTTATTCTCATGTCTGGTATAGGCTCGACAATCAAGCAAAGAAAATTGAAACCCCACACTTGCCCCCCCCCCCAATAAAAAAACGTTTATGACAATTTCTTCATAAATCTGTATCAATTGGGTCAAATTTATAAATCGCCGGAACGTTTTTGGACTTTGAGATATAGGACTTGGTCAATACATTTACACTCAATTAAACCAAATATTGAAACCTCTTACGTTTCGGGGCACATAGATACACGTATAAAAGATTCATGGGTTAGGTTCATAATGGCTATATTCATAATATGTGATAATGAAATCGAAACCCCAAACTTAGTCTAGCCCTTTAGGGTTAGGCCTACTCAAAACATACTGAAACCTGACACCCCTGATATGGCCGCTTCAAAAAGATCTCGGTGATCTAGGCAAAGTATAGAAACCATTGACTGATAACCACATAATTATGCGTTGTGCCTCAAGAAAAGCCTGAAACCAAAAGCAGACCTCTTAATTAAGTTCATTTATTACACAGTTCTTCTTAAACAAAGTTGGACGAGAAAATAAGAATCATTCCCTAATAATTAATTTCCACGTTGACATAGTTCTCCTTAAACTAAGTTGGACAAGAAAAGAAATCATTCACTAATTAATTTCCACGTTGACTGAGTTCTCCTTAAACTAAGTTGGACGAGAATAGAAGTCATTCACTAAACAATTAATTTTCACTGTGATATACACGTTGATAATTATAGGTTGTGGTGATACTTGTTGACACTTAATCGAGAAAAGTCGTTCTTCGTTAACCTTGCTTTCATCAGTGTGTATGTACAAAATGATGCTCTAATTTCATTATTGCAAAGTTATGTCTTTACTGAATTATGTGCAAATATCGTAATTAAAAGATTATACTAAAGTAAGTTAAAATTATGTAGATTTCCTTTCTTTTTCTAAACTTTCTTTATATATCCACAAGTATACCACATTTCTCGCAATTATGCGCAAGCAGTGTCACTTGCTGTTCTTATTGTTCATGTTGTTGTGGTTGTTGTTGTTGTTGTTGTTGTACTAGCTGTAGTTTAGGCGTGTATTATACAAATAATACACATCAGTGAGGGCATTAGTAAGAATTACCCACACGGGGTACATTTGGAACAGTCTAACACGACCGAGGCGATAGTCGATCGGGCGTTTAGACTGTTTTGAAGTTACCAAGTGTGGGTAATTTTACTAATGCCCGAACAAAATGATGTGTTTTATTTGTTTTATAAGATTATGTTTTATTTGTATGTTTTATTTGCATTTCATATAAAATTATGTTTGTTAACATGATTTTGATAATGACCGGTCATTACCATTGGATAATGACCGGTCATTACCCAAATTACGCGTGATTACGCGTTATGCAAAATAAATGCCTGGTCACTTGTACGATTTCAACCAATCATTTGATTAGAATCCACGTGTTATAACATTCCATAATTCATATTCACGTCACAAGCATTCCCTTAATTAAAGGCCTCGTTTAACAATGTTAAATCTGAGATGCATGACCCTACGTGTTATCAGTGTCTATGATATGGTATAATATTGAAGCCCTAAACAACTTGCGCTTCAAAATAATCATGAAGTGCCTTAACAAATCAAAAATCTTTCAGTGACCGGTTTTACCATACTCATTATCCCCAATAGTCTGTAGTGTTATAAAAACCGTTAGGTAAAAGAATGTATCTTGATAATCAGACAGGCGATCGGCTTATAAAAGTTATGGGGTTCCTAACTGCATGGCCTAAAGGTTTATAATTATCATTGCAGCATAAGCTTAATCTAGGATTTTGTTTCAGAATCTGAGGCAATGTTACCGAGTCACTTAAGTTTAATTAATGAAGGAAGTTAGTCTGAGGTCTACGTTTCCGTTTTGTTAAACGTGATTTTTTTTTTGTACTTATGCAAACTCGGGTTGAAGTGAATCGGTTAGTAGAAATGTAGAATACGGGCCATTTACGAATAGATATCAAGCGACTAATAAATCTAGAATTTGAGGCATTCTTAAATGACCTAGCTTGGATATAACCGGCTGGATCACGCGCTCTGGTTTTGCGTTTATACGACCAAGACATCGACCTCTTAATTGACACCATATATAATTATTTCCGGTCAATTTGACAGCTCAAAAGCCTTCCAGTGATAATTAAGTGTCATAAAAAAAATTCATGCGAGTTGAATTCTTCGAGATTATTTTCCACTGCCCTGTATGGCAATTGTTAATCGCTCCCATGGCGGCGATTTCTTTTTCATGACCGGGGGAGACGAAATGCGTGGGACGAGAGAGCAGTGGCGTAATGAGCAAAAACGTTGGGGGGGGGCAGAAAAAAATCCGCATCACCACTACTCTTACATGTTACGCAGGCCCTGGCAGCGTTTTTCAAAGTGGGGAGGGGGGACTAAAGTATATACGATCAGGTAGAGCGAAGCAAGTGGAGCGTAAATTAGCGTCGGGTCCAGTGGCAAAGCCTCGGCGGGGTCAAGGGGCGGAGTCCCATGAAACTCAGGGGTTTTAGGCATTTAATTCAGGTCAGATGAGCATATTTTGATACCTTATTTGTGACATGCACTGACATGCAGGTAATTAATTGGAGCGGGGTCTATTGGGCGAAGCCCCAGAAGCTCAGGGGTTTTAGGCATTAAATTACGATCAGATGAGCATCCAGTGGCCGCCTTAGAGCCCTTGGTGGGGTCCAGGGACAGAGCACTCAAAGGTCAGGCATTTTAGGCATTTAATTACGGTCAGATAAGCAACCAGGGGCTCGCCTTAGGGCCCTTGTTGGGGTCCAGGAGGCAGAGCCCCCGGAAGCTCAGGGAAAATGTCATTTTAGCAAAATTTGTAAATCACTGGTATCGAAGTAGAAATAAACCACGCTTGAATTTTATTTTTGGAAGGGGGGACTTCTCCCAAGTGCGAGGGAGCATAGTGAATGAGAGGGGTGAAGGTGACGGAAGCGGCAAGGCCATCACAAGTTTTTGAAGTTTTGGTTGTATTAAAAAAATTACATTCCTTAGCAAAACAATAGTATAAAAACAAGCAATATACTTTTTTCACACTTTACTTTTCTCGGTATTTACTTGTACATTTTGAAGGATATTATACAAAGGGGCGTAGCTACCGAGTGAGGAGATTTTTGCATATGTATTTGTCTAAACGCTGCACTCTTGGCCCCTCCAGATTTGCTATACATTTTTGTTGGCACTTTTTCAAAATTTGAGGGGGGACGACCCCCCCCCCCCTAAAAAATTGAGGAGGGACGTGTACATGCGCGTACCATGCTTTATGTTTATTGTTACGCGGAGTGCAATTTCTGTTGATCCTTTCGCACCATTGCACGGTGACTTTACTTACCTCACAATATACTTTGTACATCGTTAGTGACGTAAGCGTGCAATGGTGCGAAATAATCAACTGGAATTGCACGGCTGGAGAATGATGCCGTTCAACAGTACTTTTAGCACATGTCATGTGATCAAGAATTGACCAATGAGGTTGCAAGAATCTTAGTAGGCGTTGTATAAAACTATATATAGGCCCAGTATAATATTATAGAGTATTCGTTTTTGTATATATATCCATGGTTGGTAATGATACTTCTTTGGGTATAGACATGTGATACGTGACTTGTATACTGTGAATTCAGCTGTGAGGCAGAATTTTGAGGTAAGGCCTACCTTTTAAACACTGTTGCATACATGCCTGCCTCTGCGAACGGCAAATCGTAATACTTCTGTACATGTATCTATACATTGTTGTTGGTAATAGTTTAATGGCGTTCATTCAGTGTTGAATATATATACGCCATATCTTCAGTTTTATAAGAAAATCAATTATACATAAGAAAACTGAGAAGAAAGATTTGTAATCACATAATTAATTATTCAGTAACGCAATTTTTAATAGGAGTCTCTGGATGGTTTGCAACTTCGTGTTTCTGCTTTTTTATAAGTTTAATCTGCCTGTTTTTATATTTCTATAAACTCCTTCATAATTATTTATATCAAAC